TGTGTGTGTGTGTGTGAGTGCGTGTGCGTGTGTGCTTGTGCGTGTGTGTGTGTGTGCGTGTGGCTGCAGCAGGGTCAGTGCATGGTCTCTGGCTGTTTCCCGCAGCGCAGCCGTGTGTTGGAGACGAGGATCAGGAGTGGGCTGACGGCAGTGTACAGTGAGGTGAAGAAGAGCCGGAGGTCAGTGATCAGCGCGGAGCTCAGCGTATGTGAAACAGTGAGCGTGTACACCCACAGCCCATTGTCCAACCCAAAGACCAGCAGGTATAGCGAGACCAGTGTGACCACTGTGACCGCAGCCCTCCGCTCTGCTGCCCCCCCTGCCGTACCCCGCAGACCCTGTACTCGCCGCCGCTGCCGCACCAGGTACACCAACAGCACCAGGCTGCCTGCCGCCATCAGCACCATCGGCACCACATCCCTGGCCACCTGCGCCGCCCCGTTAGCATCCCGCGCCAGCCTGGAGGGAAAGCTGAGGAAGCAGAATTCCACGTTGATGGCGTTCTGCAGGAGCCGGGAGTCATTGCGGGCCCCGATGGAGTACAGCAGTGAAGCCACACTCATGGAGGTGTTGATCAGCCACAGTGCCAGGAAGATGGCGGGCAGAGAGCGGGCCAGTAGGGCACGGGCAGCGGCACGGCGGGACCCTGGAGGAGCCACGCTCAGGCACTGCAGGGCGGTCAGCAGGAAGGTCAGCCAGATGGACAGAGACCTGGCGGTGCGGTGGAGGAAGATGACCGCCCGGCAGCCGGCGTCGTCAAACACATTGTGGATCCGGAAGGTGGCCAGCACCTCCAGCAGGCAGCGCACCGACACCACCACAAGGTTGGCAGAGCACAGGTGCAGCACGATGGCATCAGCAGGCGAGAGGCGGCCCTCGCGGCGCACCAGCAAGATGAAGCCGCAGATGACAGCGGTGTTACCGGGAACCCCGACCAGCACCAGGGACAGAAACAGCAGTCCGCGAATCACAGCCTCCGCAATCATCTCTGAACCCTCTGCCTCCTCCAGCCTGAGTTTATAGCCCGCCAGGGCCACGGAGACGCCACGTTTGGGACGGTCCACTGACTCCAGACCTGAGCGCAATTACCTGAATGATGTGCAGATGACTGATGCTGTCAGAGTCGCTCTCGTCAGGGCAGCAGTGGATCAGATCTGCACCTCATTGGTCTGAACTCACAGAACTGGAGCAGTACTGATTTAACAGCCTGACCTGCTGGAGTGTCCACTACTGGAAAATGACTGTCTTTATTCTCTTCATTTCATATGTTAAGCTGGTTAGACACAGTCTACTACTGTAGGAATAATGATGCCATCACATGGCGCACACTGCATTTCCACTGTAGAGGTGTGTGTGTGTGTGTGTGTGTGTGTGTGTGTGTGTGTGTGTGTGTGTGTGTGTGTGTGTGTGTGTGTCATCATGCTCTTTCATCTGCATAGTGTAACACATAAAACTGACATGCCTCCTCTGTATGGACGATCCTATAATAATATGTGTGATACAGTGTGGATGAGTATAATGCAGCTTGTCTCTGTGAGCACTGGACTCCTGCCTCCTCTCTGCTCTTCTTTCACTCTCGTTTGTGTTTTGTTCATCATTCTGGCTAAAGCCTCTGCTGAATAAATAAAGCGGCAGAGTTCTTCTGTGTGGAGGGAGATGTTCTGAGCTGTGGACAGCGGTCAGTTCCCTACAGACTGAAGCACAAACAGAAGAAGCTCATTACTGGAGAAAACAGACGAGCCCAGACCTGCCTCCACACATCCCAGACCTGCTCATTACGGAGAATTCATTACTGCTCTCTAATTACCTCACACACACACACACACACACACACACACACACGGGACACGTTCGCAACCACAGCGTTTCAGAGTGGAAACAGATTAACCCCCATTAAGCACTTGTGGGAATTAAACATTAACACTGATGAGAAACAAACAAACCTGAACAGAAACCAGAAGACGGACACGACAAGACTCAGTGTTTTCATCATCAGTGCGGGACGCCATGCTCCTCTTCAGTCACTTGCTTTTCCAGCACAAATATCTGAGCGTGCTGAAATCAAAGCACAAGTACTGGAGAAGGAGAACGAACATCAGTGCTGAATGCAGACCGCTGGGCAGAGTGAACATCTCTTCAGTGTTCTGACATCCAGTCCTGACTTGAGCCCTTTCCCGATCCCCTTTCCCTCGCTCTCCAACCTGACTTACTCTCATCATGCCTTGTGCGTCAAAATAAAAGCAAAAACAGCAATAAATGAATCTTTCAGTAACTGTAGATATTGACTGAAAAACTGACTAAAGTTAGGTTTTAGAGTCAGTCTTTACTGACCTCCCTGACCTGATCCTACCACAACATCTCAGTCTTTCAGCTACTCCAGCCCCTCGCCTGCTCCTGCACTCAGACACTGTTTTCTTGAACATGTAAACTGCATGCAAGTAAAGCTTCACCTGTCATTCTCTCCGAAACTCCACCGTTACAACAATAGTACAAATTATTAGTCAAAGCAGGTGAGATCAGAATCCTGATGACACCACAACTACTGTAGCACGATGTCCACAGTCCCTCTCTACCCTGCAGACCCTTCCGAATATTCTCCGCAGTGAGGGAGATCAACTGTTACTGCCAGTTTTTTTCTAAATTTGCAATAAACCGCAGCATAGTTCAGTATTGTCCCTCATTCTTTAGCACGTTCAAGAGCAGGTGGACAGTGTACAATCCCTTCTGCAGCGCTCCTGCTGCTAGTGCTTGTTAGCGCAGCGTGTTGTGGGTGTCGTGTGTGTGATCTGCATGAGGAATGCCGTCAGTGGTGTGGTGAAACCCTTATGTTGAGGTGTTTATGAGCTGTGTGTTGCTCTTGGGGAGTTTTGCAGGTGAGCTGAGCTGTTCAGAGCTATGCTGGTAATAAACTCTGTGTGAACAGCGAGGAAGACGTGGCTTCAGCTCTGCACAGTGCTGGTCTAGAGTTGAGAAACCTATAGGCGTGAGCTGTGTAGATGAGCTGGGGGTGTTTCTATGGTTGTGTGTGTGTGAGTTCCTCCAGCACTGACAGGAGCAGCTCTGGTCTTCTGCAGTAATTAGGCTGCAGCTCAGGTGGACACCTCTGTCTCCTCGGGGAGCTTTCTGTGGGTTTTCAGGTTCGTGGCGGCTCCCACGGGGCAGTAGAGGCTTTATATTCCAGCGGTGTGGGAGATGGACTTCAGAAAGCCTTGAAGACTCTTCAGAAAGTTTGCACTGTTGTGTCGTCTGTACTGTCGTGTGGTCTGGACCTCTATGGACCTGTGTGTCACCATCAAAGGCGTCTCCTTCCTGCTGCAGGCTGGTCTGGGGATACTGGCCAACGCACTGGTTCTGCTGGCGTATGCCCACATCCGTCTGGCGGAGGCGCGACTGCAGCCTGTGGATGCCATCCTGTGCCACCTGGCGCTGGTGGACTTGCTGCTGCTGCTGACTCGCGGTGTCCCGCAGACTATGACTGTGTTTGGCATGAGGAACCTCCTGGACGACACGGGCTGTAAGGTGGTGATCTACACGTACCGTATCGCCCGAGCGCTGTCCGTCTGCATCACCTGCATGCTGAGCGTGTTCCAGGCAGTGACGGTGGCGCCCGCGGCAGGACCGCTGCTATCCGGGGTGAAGGCCCGGCTCCCACAGCTGCTCGCGCCTACATTTGCAGCACTGTGGTTCATCAATATGGCCGTCTGCATAGCTGCCCCATTCTTCTCAGTGGCCCCTCGCAACGGCACCGTCCCACCATTCACGCTCAACCTGGGCTTCTGCCATGTGGACTTCCATGATAACCTGTCGTACGTGCTGAACGGGGTGGCCGTGTCGGTGCGGGACTTTGCCTTTGTGGGGGCGATGCTGGCCTCCAGCGGCTTTATCCTGCTGCTGCTCCACCGGCACCGCAGGCAGGTGCGGGCTGTCCGCCGTTCTCAGGGGTCCACCATGGAGACACGGGCCGCCAGGACGGTGCTGATGCTGGTAATTCTGTACTCCGTGTTTTTCGGCATCGATAACGTGATCTGGATC